ATAGAACTTGTATTTGATTTCTGTATATTTAAAGATTAAAATTTAGTTGAAAACTATAATATCCCAAATACCCTCCTATTTATTCTTGCATGAGTTATACTTAAGTGAGGGCGAAAGGTGTCATGTAGCATGTTTTTTCCCCTATGCTAATATTAACCTGCAAAACCTGAAGACCCCCCTCAATTTATTTCGGCCAAACACAGAGAAGGACAGGGCTTGAGGCGGAAGTGGAGGGCGGAGCACGCAAGGCGAAGGCGGCGGCTCCGGCGAGTTTTCCGGCGAGAAAGCTAGGGGAATTCGTAGGTGGAGACTAAAGGAAGGCTAAGGTAATGCATCTAGAACAATTGATTTTTCCATCTCTTCCTCTAGAATTTTTAAATGTAGAAGTATTTCTACGGGTTTTTAGAAACTTGGATTTTTCTTTGAGAAACAGTTTTAGGAATGATTAAAGGATGTTATCTAAACTTAATGCTAGTTGATTTCTTGAAAATATTGGAATGTTTGGGAAAAAATTGGGGTTTTGTGCTAAAAATTTATCTCTTGGAAAATGCCTTCACAAAAGAATCTTTTTAAGGTATGAGGGAAAAGTTTTTATGTGAAGAATATTTATAGGGGGTTTAAGCAAAATTTAGTTAGGAGTTTAGGGTTTCTTCTCTAATGAAGGAATTTTTTGAATCCTTGATGGTTTATATTAGGGGTTGGGGGATTTTAGAAGGGAGGCACCGCTTATGGATTGTTTTGAAATACAAGATTTTTTTAATTTTGGATTTTATTACATTCTCGAAAATTAATAATTTTTATTTACAATGCTGAGAGTTAGGAAAGGTGATTGCATGCTTAAAGATCTTAGGAATGGTTGACTAAAACCTTTAGATTGAGATGAGAATGTGAGGGGCTTTATAGAAAAACCATGCTTGATGTGGTTAAATTTAACTCCATGCTTTGCCTAGGTTATTTGATATGTGCTTAATGCGTGTAGGGATTGAGGTGTATGTTTCTTTTAGGTTGGTTGACATTGGGCGAAGAGAAGTTTTGTAAGGATTCCTTCTGGCTGTGGATTCACGTGTGGCTGTTGTAGGTGGTATAATGTAATGCCTTTTAAAATTAGAAGAAAATGCTATTTATATTTTTCCTCACAAAGCATATCTTTGCCACTTATTACTTATGTAAGCTCTAGCGTTCTTCAATCACATGCTTATATAGTTCTTTTATGGCTTTTAAGGTTGTCGTGATGTTTAATTGGTTGTTGTGCTATGATTGTCTTAATTGTTAAGTGGGAACTGGCCTTTGGAATATGGTTTTAGAGACATTTTGAGCTTATGCTTGTTCCAACATAAAGCCTTTACTCATTGCGTAACCTCCACATTGGCAGTAGTTCGATCTTTTATGTAATAGTATTAAACATGTGCGTACTCTTCTAAACGTGATGAATCATGGTTGCAATACTTGACTCTTTTCTTTCCTCTCTTGGGCTATCATGAAATCATATAGGCACATTAGGAGATAGTTGACCATTATCAGAATAAGAATCTCCTTATGAGTAATTAAAGAATGAATGTAATGTTGTCTTTGTTGACTTGGTCTCGCGGAGTAGGTAATCTTTTGGTAAAGGGATGCTCTTGTCCGAGCATTGGTAAAGGAGTGCTCCTATGAGCAATTGGTAGGTGGTTCTTATGAACCAAATGGAAAAAGGAGGATGGCCCATTATTTGTACCGCCTGATTCTAGTACAAAAAGGATACCCTGAGACGGTGCTTAAGATATATTTATTTATGCATATGCAACTATATAATTGGTTCAAGAAAAGCATTTTCAATGCGTTATGATAGTTGATTAGGATCATGGTCGAGAGAACTCTATTTCTAAGGAAAACGCGTTTTTAAATGGGTCCACATTGAGGCATACTATTAAATGTTTATGATTGGCTTCAACTGGTTCTTTACCTATAGTATTATGTCATTATTGTTCAAATTCTCATGTCATATGTGTTTTTCTCTAAATTTTATTTTGGTAAGGAGGCAATTTTGCCTATTTGTAGTTTTAAGACTCACCCTCGTTGGGAATACTTTTCAGGAAGGAACTTAGTAAGGGTTAGATGCCTAATGGCTGACTGCGCCAACTCCTTCCGCTTGTCGCACTTACCGTTTTCGTAGGGAGACGACGGGCTGGCAGGGTTCTTTTTGTATTTTTGATGTTTTGTATAGATAGATTAGAATGGGATTGTAAGAGGAAAGGTTATACTGTGGACATTTCCCTTTTTGTATCTTTTTGTAAACTGTCTTAAGCTAAATCCTTGATGGGTGATTTAAATGAAAGGAAAAGAAAAATTTTGTTGATATTGTAGTGGCTTCTTTTAATGTTGGATGAAAAATTAAGTTTTGGAATTATATTTATTGTCTTGTAAAGTTTCTTTTATCTTCTTTACGTGTCCAGATCTTCTGTTTCCCGCTATCGGCCTTGCGAGCTAACCGGTCCGGGTCCGTGACAATCGTGCTTTTTGTGCTAATTTGCATTAAAGTAAATTGGGAAGAAGGATCCGAAAGATTTTAATTTTTTTTTTGTTGGTATTTTAATGATTTGTCTATATTTTTATTTTAGTAGCCTTTGTGGGGAATTAATTTAATAATGCTAAATTTGACTTAAAGTCTTGCTAGGCTCGAAATATATCGATTATATTAGAGCTATTGAATGTTAGGATTTGTAAAGATGTCTCATTTTTTTTTTGGTTTGCTGTGCTTGCGCCATTGAATATTTGTTGTTTAAATTTTTATTTTCAATTTCAACCTATTGTTTTGTTATTTTTAATGTGTATTTGTATGTGTCGTGTGGTGTTTGGTATATTGTGTGTGGCGTCGCGACAATGTTTTTTGTCATGTTGTGGCCGACCGGCGGTCATCCATCGAAATGTTGCAACGGCTAACCTGGAATCCGCAGAATGAATTCGGAGCCTTTCCCAACTGGGGTCTGGGACGACGTCGGTCGATTTGATTATTTTAGGTTTATATATAGTGTGTGTACACATGTTTTAATAATGGACGCGTTGCTTTGGGGTGGTTTATTAACTGTTGACGATTTTGTTTTACAGAGCCAACTTAAATCCCTACCAGTGTAACACGGGTCGTGTTTGTTTTCGGGTTTCTTAATTTCTCAACTTTTTGTTTTAAATCAGTTGTGTTTCAGAATATACAACCCTGCTAACTCCTCGGAATTTCGATTCGAGTCTGAACCCATTCGGTCCTTCCTCTGTTCCGCAGCTCTCGCAGTCTGCATCCGCTATCTCTGTTCTCTAGTGTCGTGTTGGCTGTTCTCTCCCAGTCTTGGCATACTCCACTCTTGCACTCGCGGCTTCTCTTTTCCTTTGCACTTCGGCACCATTCTCACCTTGTCGGACTCAACACGCTCTTCGCATAAGTCGCTGCTTGCTGCTTGACTACACCCGGGTCGGTGGGTGCAAGTTCTCCTTAGTTATTA